CAAGGAGGGGTCGCTATGAGTCGGGGCCGACTCGACGGCACGTAACAACAACAACAGGTCTTTGCACATTTCATTATAATACATTGTTTTCTTAAGGTACCCTTTGAAATCTTTTGTTCAGCTCTTTCACTTCACTTTAGCTACTCTTTGTTCAAGAGCAAGTTTCAGAGTCTCTTCTGACATCCATTTTGGCCTTAGCTTCCTTTCATGTCTTTTTATTAAATGACCATTTGCTTTCTTCCTTTTTGATGTCCTTGATGCCATCCCACAACTGATCTGGTCTTTGGTCTCTGTTGTTTAGTCCATTAAATCTTTCCTACAGATGGTCTCTAAATTCAGGTGGGATATACTCAAGGTCATATTTTGCTTCCTGTGAACTTGTTACAGTTTTCTTCAGCATCAACCTAAACTTGCTTATGAGCAATTGAGGGTCAGTTCCAGAGTCGGCCATTGATCTGATGATAATTGAGCTGCTCCATTGTTGCTTTCCATAGATGTAGTCGATTTCATTTCTATGTATTCCATCTGGTGAGTTCCACATATATAGTCATTGTTCATGTTGTTGAAAAGGGTGTTTGCGATGAATAAGTCATTGGTCTTGTAAAATTCTATCATATGACCTCTGGTGTTATTTTTATCGCCAAAGTCATATTTTCCAATGATCGATGCTGCTTCTTTGTTTCCACCTTTCATGTCCAGTCACTAGTAATTATCACTATATCTTGACTTCATGTTTGATAAATTTCAAACTGTAGAAGTTGGTAAAAATCTTCAATATCTTTATCTTCGGCTTTAGTGATTGGGTGCGTAAATTTTAATAGTAGTATTAACTGGTCTTCCTTGTAGGGGTATGGATATTATCTTATCATTGACAGCATTGTACTTTAGGATAGATCTTGAAATGTTTTTTGATGATGCATGTGACACCGTTCCTCTTTGTCATCCTGGTGTAATAGACCGTATGATTGCCTGATTTACAATGGCCAAGACCAGTCCATTTCAGCTCACTAATGCCTAGGATATCAATCTTTATGCACTCCATTTTATTTTTTACAACTTCTGATTTTTCTAGATTCATACTCCATTCTTTTCACATTCTGATTATTAATGGATGTTTGCAGTATTTCTTCTCATTTTGTCATGCCACATCAGCACTTGAAGGTCCCAGAAACTATCTATGTCATTAAGGTCAAGTTTACTTGAGGAGGCTGCTCTTCCCTAGTTGTGTTTTGAGTGCCTTCCAGCCTGATGGGCTTATCCTCCAGCACTGTATCAGACAGTGTTGACCTGCTATCCATAACATTTTCAGTGGCCAATTCCTTCAGAAGTATCCTTCTTCCTACTCTTAAGTCTGGAGTTTCCACTGAAACTTATTCACCATGGGTGACCCTGCTGATATTTGAAAATACCGATGGCATAGCTTCTAGCCTCACAGCAACACATAAGCCACCACAGTAAGACAGACTGACAGGTGAGTGGTGGAAGATTTAGGAATAAGAGGAGAAAATCGTCTTTGAAGGGAAAGTATAGATTACCAATGCAGGTAGAGATCTGAGGGTCTTTGTTTATTGTTGCTAATGTTCTTGTGGGAGTTCTGGTAGCATAGTGGCTAAAGCGCTTGACTGCTAACCAGAAGGCTGGCAGTTCAAACCCACCAGCCACTCCTCGGAAGGAAGGTTGGGCAATCCTACTTCCGTAGTGATACTGCCTCGGAAACCCAAGGAGGGGTCGCTATGAATCGGGGCCGACTCGACGGCACACAACAACAACAACAACAATGTTCTTGTTCCCCTTTATTAGAGGAAAATGGAAACTTCATTCAGGTTGGAGTTTTTAAACTATAGCTGAGAGAATGAAGCAAAAGAAGAAAACATAGCTGGCAGATACTCTTCCACAGCCCCAAACTGTAACAGCGCCCCACTGGCATGCTGGGGGCTGGAGAGTCTTCCCTCACACTTTCCTTCTTTTCTACCCAAAGCCCCTTGTTTGCTGTTTTGAGTGGAGAAAGGCTCTTTTGAACATTCCCAGATGGTGTTCACTTAGGAGGATGCCCACCAGTGCCAGCCTGCCCCTCACCCATGACATGGGAGGGGCACTCAGTTCCATGTCCACATACCTCCCATCATCAGCAGCAGATTGTTGTGGATTTTCAGGTTTTACTTAATTTTGTATAAATTAGTGTAATTTCATATTAAGATAGTCTATTATTTAATGCAGACTGTTCATGCTTTGCTTAATTTATTATAAATTGAAATGGATGAGAACATTTGTTGCAGAAAAGACCATTTCTAGAGGAAAATACCCAAAACACAGGATTTAGGGCTTTGATAAAGGCCCTTTCCAGGCATCTGCTAGGGCTCAGTCTTACCTCATTTGGGCTGTCTTGTCAGGATTCTGAGCCTTAGGTTCCTCCTTAGTAAGAGAGGTCTGAAGGGCAGCAAATGTACAGAGCATAATTAGCACTTAGTTGAGGCTTCTGCCTGATAAAATGAAAAAAGTCAAGTAAAAGTAGCCAGCTGTTCTAAGACTTTTGTTTCTGGTTACCGCATTATGAATTGGTCTTGTCTAGGGATTTATTCCAGGATTTGATCTTGGTCCCACCCTGTCCTGATCATATTTCTCAGGTGTGGGGCTGGGCTCTGGAAGATTCTGATGTGACTTTGGTTATGAAATAGACTGGGAGCTGCCAGTAGGAAACCTTGCACGTGATGCCATGGGCCAAACTACATTAAACATACCAGGGAGAGCTTGAGAGGCCATGTGAGAGTGTTCATGATTCATTTAAAATTCAGTTATGATTCCCACAAATGTATTTTTTTTTCTTTGATTCAAGGTGCACATTACAAAACTTTCAAATTTGAAAACTTCTGTCATTGATTATAATGTTCGAGCTGAGATTTTGTCAATGGGAATGGGCATTGATAACTCAGAACATATAGAACAACTGAAAAAATTACACGAAGAAGCTAAAATGCCAACTTTTGAAGAAACCCTGTAAGTAGATTTTTCTTTCCCTTTTGGAGGAGCTACTGTGTGGAAATATAACTCACAAATACTGTAGACATTTTTTTTTTTTTTATGAAATTGGAGAGAGTAGTTTAATGAGTTCCCTGGCCTTATGACTCAGCTTCAGTTAATTATCAAGTTTTTCAGAAACTTGTTTCATCTATACCACAAACCACACCTTTGTTTTTGGTGGAGTATTATAATACAAGTATCTAATTTCACCTGTATCTCTTACAGAAAAGAATTTTTATTAACATTTTATTTATTTGTTTTGATTTTTATTGTGATTTGGGTGAAAGTTTACAGAGCAAATTCATTTTCTGCACAGCGGTTCATACACATTTTGTTTCATGACATTAACTGCAGTTCCCCACAGTGTGACAGCCCTCTTCCCACTTCCTCCCTGTGGTTACCTTTTTCTTGTGTACTTCTTTTCTGTGCATTCCTGCCCCATAAACTATCTCCCTGTGTTAATACTGCTCTTCTGTTCTCCCATGATTGATCGTTCTAAGGAGTATATCTACCTGATGTAAATGTTCACCTTATATGCCTGTCTGTTGTTTGGCTGGAAGCTACTGGAGTGAGTTCAGTTCCAGACCTGAAGGGTAACTAGGGCCATAGTCTTGGGTGTCTCACCAGGCTCTATCAGACCAGTAAATCTGGTGTTTTTCATGATTTTGAGTTTTGTTCCACATTGTTCTCCCACTCTATCCAGGATCTCCTGTACTAATCCCTTTCTGAGTGGTTGACATTCTCATCCCTTTCTGAGTAGTTGAGAGGGGTAGCAGGCATCATCAGTTTCTTCAGGTGTTATGGTCATACAGGCATATAGGCTAAGATTCACATGGTCCACTAGTCACTGGGACTAATTGTTTCTGTGTGTCTTTGGTTTTCTTCATTCTTCTTTGCTCTGGAAGATGAGAGACCCCTTGTTGCTGCTTGCAAGAGGTGGTCACTTAAGGGTTTAAGACCCCAGTCGCTACTCACCAAAGTAGGTTGTAGAACAATGTTTTTGTGTAGTATATTATGCTAGTTGAGCTTGATGTCCCCTGCAACCATGGTCCCAAGCCCACAGATCCAGTAACTCAATCAGAGTGATTAAGTGTGCCTAAGAAGTTATCATAACTTTGCTCCCTATTAGTTAATGAACATTCTTACAACACATACAGATATGTATGCAGAAACATCATCTGCCAATCTTATGCATGGTCATGGGTATATTCCCTTTTCCCTAGACATAGCTGATCATTCAGCTTGTCTACTCATCTATTTTCTCATAGATTAATGTTTGTTATTAACATTTTATTGACAGCACATATACAGAGGTGTCTAGTGAGGTGGATTTTCTGTGTACGCACCTATGTAACTAGCCCCAGATTAAAGAGACCACGACTCAAGAGGCCCCCTCATGCTCCCTTCCAAATACTTCCCCTCCCCAAGGGGCAGCACTGATGTAGAAAAGTTAGATGAGTTTTGCCTGGTTTTGTACTTTGTGTGATTAAAATCATGCAGTATGTCTCTTTTGTGTTGGACTTCTTTAGCTCAGCATTGTTTGTGAAATTCATCCAGATTGTGCCTTCAGTTGTAGATAATAAATTCTTATTACTGCTTATTGTTCCATTTTATGCATATTGAATGTGTCATAATTTATCCATTTTACTGTTGGTGGGGAAATTGCCAATTTTTGACTACTTTGAATAGTAGTGCTTTGAACATTCTTTTACCTGTATTTTGGTGAACTCACATAAACATTCTAATGGAATGGAATTGCTGAGTCATAATTAGGGCTATTGTTCTAACTATTTTCCATAGTGGTTGTGCCAATTTTTTTTTTAATTTTATTTTGATTTGGGTGAAAATTTACAGAGTAAATTCACTTTTCATACAGCAGTTCACATATACTTTGTCTCATGTCATTGACCAAAATTTACAATA